TGACAGTGAGTGACTGGCGGTTACTGTATGGGATCGTGTGTGATAAATTTGTTATAATAAATATAATGTTAGTTGTTTGCAGTTTTAAACATGTTTATTAAATTTATTACATAATATACGTATATTATGTAATAAATTTAATAAACACATTTAAAATTGCGAACACCTAATATCAAATTTATTACAACTCAAATTTATCATACACGATCTCATACAGTAACCGCCAGTCATTCACTGTCTCGTCTATTATAAATCGTTCCGAAATTCAAACGCGTCCCGGATATCCGGCACTCGTTTTAGTACCGGCCCTTATCACTAATGGCGCTGCAAATCGACCAAGAAAAACCTCTGAGTTGTACACCCGTGGATTGGATAGGATAGAGTGGAAACAGCCACGGATCTGTATAACTGAATACGGTATATCACCATTGGCTGCTTCAGAAGACACACCGTTGCATAACCGTTGAGTGATTTCACTAGATTTGCTTCCGCTCATCCAATAGGGTGTAGCGTTCAGAGTGAAATCTAGTGAAATCACTCAACGGTTGCGCAACGGTGTGTCTTCTGAACACAGCCAATTTATCAATTTCTTCAGCATTAAAGTCACCTTGTTCTAGATTTTCTAAAAACAATAAAACAACTATAATTTTAATAATTTCACATATTTTGTAGACAGAACATAAAAATTCTTTGCATAGGTGAGATGGAATTTTTATACCTCCTTGTCAATAATTATATATAGGTAATTTATAGTCACTGATATGTATAAACACATGGATACGGGATGGGGTATATGGAGTTGCTGCATTTTGAAGGTACGGTGTGAGGAGTGTGAGGACTTGCTCACAAAAAGAGGCCACGGCGCCCCAAGACCTCTCGTCGCGAACCATGGCTTCCACCACGGCCGCGGCGAGAGATCCCATTCACCACCATTCACTCGCTTCATCTCTACCATAAGACCGCGTAGTCTATTATATGTATATGTCTATGGCTCAGAAGTCCCCATCCCGTATCCATATATACAGACACCGATCAGTGTTTATAGTAAATTAAAAATATTATTACCTTCCATTGTTTGTTATTATAGTTGCAACATAAAATATTCAATGATAATAACTTTAATGCTTAACAATAGAAAACAACTCAAAACCATCTAAAAATTCACTTTAAATAATTCTTTTCAAATTTATTTTCTTTTATGTTACAATACTTTATTTAGGTTATGATCGAATAGATTTATTTTATGACTTTGGTTATGTTAAAATTACGTTACTTATGTAATTTACATGTAATTTACGTGTAATTTACACATAACGTAAATAACTTGGTTTTATGGGGATTTACCCATCACTGGCCCGGGGTGATCTTCAGGCAGAGATGGATAAAAAGTGTAAAATCATAGCGACTTTGATTCGTTGATTCTTATATAGCTGCCGAATCTACCTTCACTTTGTAAGAATCACCAATCAAAGTCTTGTATGATAATTTTGTTGCGGTCCCCGCTCATGTCACGTAGCGGTGTATGTCATAAGCTTCACAGGCGCGAAGTTTGAATCGAATAACACATGTAATAGGAAAGGAGGGTAAAGGTGAAGTTGACACTGATTTGAAGAAGTGTGAAATCTGTTAGAGATCCTTTTAATAAATGCATTTCAAGATTATAACATACTCAATATTCACTTAGAAACGAATGTTTAAACATTTGCCAGTTGCCTTCGCCTCCTATCTTAACGCTCAGAATCATTGCAAATACGTAAATCGCTCGTTATCAATAACCGGGAAGAAACGCATCAACGAATCAGGTTAAATCTTAGAAATTAATAATTATAGGATTGGTCAGTAGTAACTAAGGACATTTTGTAATTAAACAAAATGATATACGAAGGGAAATGAAAAGACATTCCATCCCACCGCTGTCACCAATTTTGTTGCGTGGGCCCTCAGGAAATCCTGAGTCTCAAAGTAATTAAAGTTTGAAACACGTTAGTTTTATAGATACTTTTGAATAAAAAGGAAATTATAACGATAATAATAAAGAACAATAAAGATTTAAATTAAAACTTTGAAAACTATATTTAAACTATTTAAATAAACGATTTTTAACTAATTTTAAAGGAAAACAAATTTAATTGATAAAGTAATTTTTATACGTCCTTTCTATTACAACGTTGTCGGTGGAATGGAATGTCTTTTCATTTCCCTTCGTATATCATTTTGTTTAATTACAAAATGTCCTTAGTTACTACTGACCAATCTTATAATTATTAATTTCTAAGATTTAACCTGATTCGTTGATGCGTTTCTTCCCGGTTATTGATAACGAGCGATTTACGTATTTGCAATGATTCTGAGCGTTAGGATAGGAGGCGAAGGCAACTGGCAAATGTTTAAACATTCGTTTCTAAGTGAATATTGATTATTTTATAATCTTGAAATGCATTTATTAAAAGGATCTCTAACAGATTTCACACTTCTTCAAATCAGTGTCAACTTCACCTTTACCCTCCTTTCCTATTACATGTGTTATTCGATTCAAACTTCGCGCCTGTAAAGCTTATGACATACACCGCTACGTGACATGAGCGGGGACCGCAACAATATCTATCCATCTCTGCCCTCAGGTGGTCAAATAAGGTAGACTGCTATTTCGACTACATGTAACATGTGATTCTTACGTTTATATATGCAATTTTTCCCGTGGACTACCTAGTACTTCATTATTTTTAAGATCTATGCTTTGAAGATGGGAATGAGTCGTGGTTTCAACGGTGTTGAAAATATCGAATTGTGATATGTTAATGTGACGTAACAAAGTGGTGAGCAAAGTGTGCGTTTTACTAATCCAATTAATAGTTTTCACATGTAATGAATAGTCTACATGAAAATTCATGGACGTGGATAGAGTATTTGATGGAGACAATCAATAAACTGACATATGGCTTAGTGGATTTAGTATCTAACACTTTTGGGTTAACGTTTGATTCTACTAATTTTGTTGTTACCGATGAACTCCGAAAAAAGTTCTCTGATTGTTTTCATGAATTTGTAGCCTTGTTAGCGTTCGACGATTTTCAATTACAATTATTAAAAGTTTTTTCGTTCACATTTATTAGTACGGTGGCCCTGATTTTCATCGCTTGGCATATATACGGTCCAAGAATTTCTGAACAATTTATGGAACCATGTAAGATACTTTACATTGTTTCTTTTCATGTGTATGTATGTGTATGCTGCTGCGTTGCGTGTATTATTACAGTAAATTGTGAAAATTATTTTTATTGTTATTATACTGATAATACGTTTTGTGAGATTTATTTTACATTTACTATTACTTCTTTCATTCATTCTCATTAAATACCAAGTTTTTAGTAGAAAAATTAATCATCTTGATTAAAATTAATCATATTGATTATTTGTAATTAATTAATTAGCTAAATTATTTTCTTTTTACATTGAATTTTATCTTAAATGAAACTTAGCCTGTTTGATTAATCGGTCACTTAATATTTCTGTTAGAGTGATAAAACAAAATCTTTTGAAAGAATACATTTTGAACAGTATTTACTTACTTTACTTACTTTATCGAAATATAATGATATATTAGCATTTATTTAAAATGTACAAAATGACTGATGTATTTTGAAATATTTTAAATATTGTTATAAAAGCTTAAGTAGAATAAAAAATGTTCACATTGCATTAATAATGCTTTAACATTAGTGGTATAATCTTGGAACAGAGAATGTTTTTATCAGAAACAATTACATTCAAGTAATGTGACTCGATGCAATGTAAGAGTCTTATAGATATGTGTGGTAACTGTCGGGTCAGGGTTTCTCACGAAGTAATAATATAAAATTAACCAAAGACAAGTGGCTTGTCATGTAATACAAAACATTTCCTATATTGTTTTGGAAGGGTTTAAGGCTAAGCCAATGCTAAATGGTATATTATCATAAATTGCTCTTTTAGGTGCTAGTTGGTTATTGGGCCATTTAGAACAGCAGATTACAATGAAGTCTCTTGGACTGTATTGTATCTATGCACATCTCAGAACTTTTCTACAATTGTCTCAAGGTTGCCATGCTTTTGACACTATTAAGTATTATAGTACATTCGATTAAATTTTGTCATTTAAGCTTTGTCCTGAATAAACAGCTGTCTCGATTAACCAATAGCCCAAATAAACAAAATCCATTGTATTAACAGTATATCATAGATAAATGGTATTAAATTTAAGTAAAATCAAGAATAGAAATCAGTTATTTTGTCTATTATTGTTTAATCTGACTCAAATATTTCCATTTTTTTATGTATAGCAAACAATACTTTGTGTGAAGATTAAAGAAAATACCATAATTTATTTTATTTTAGGCATTGTATCTGAAGATTGTGACTCTTCATCAGAAGAATGATTTATTTTATGTGAGCAATTTATTGAAATAAAATTATATCATGAGTAAACTAATTATAATTATATTTACTTTTATTACAATGAAAATGCATAAAATTTGTTTTCTTGTAGGTTTCATTAGAAAAAAGAAAGGATTATTTAACAGAATTATTAAATAATCAACAAGTATGGCAGATAAAATAAAATCATTTCTTCAAAAGAAGGTGTTGAATGCAAAATTTGCGAATGCTGGAAAAGGATACAAGTAAAGCTTGTTATATTATTCTTATTGTAATTGTTGCACATCTGTTTTTACTTTTATTGTTAAAATAAATGTAGTGAAGTACAATAAGCCTTGTGGTACTACAATAATTTTTTTTAAAACTTTCTACAGTATCTAATACAAATTGTTTGATGACATTAAACCTGCCTATTAACTAAAATCCACAAGGGTTTATCAAAAACAGCCCCAAGGTAATTACACTTATAACTATGTAGATTGTGGTGACACCCGGATACATTAGAATAAAGTTCTATTTGTATTCATGTCCGCACATGCATTCTTGATTCTTCTAGCCTCATATTGGCTCTCATTTCCTCCTCCATAGGCAATAACATGTTCGCCATATGAAAAAAAATAAAATCTTCCATCTTCTAACATAGAAGTACTTTTGTATATAGAATCATCTCCTTTGGGCTGTAACATCAGTTTAGGGACACCCTGTGTATGACTATCTATGAATTGGTATCACTTTAGTTTCATTAAAGATATTGAAATTTGAAAATCTTAGGTAACAAAAATGACATTTTATATTGTATCAATACTATGGTATAATTGTATTAAGTTAGCTACCATAGTCATTTAAAAAGTTGAAAAATGAAGGAAATTAGGTGTGTCCTAATTTTGATTAAGTAAATTTTATTTCGATCCTCAGGGTCATAGTGATGCTAAGGTGATAATAATTATAAAATTTTTCAGTAGTAACTTGTCTATATAATAGAAATTACATATTTTTATTTAATACAAAATTATGTGCAGACTAACGGAATCAACAAACAGTGGTGTATCTACTTCAAGAGTAGAACCAGTAGAAAGAGTAGAACCTACAGTAGAAGCTAAAACAGCTGGCCAAGCTGCATTGGCAAGATTAGAAACAAAAACAAATAATAGAAGTAAATATAAAAAGTAAGTTGTATATTATATAGGTATTCATTGTTTTCATTATTGTCCTACGAAATTATGTTTCTTGTAGATCGTACGAAGCTATAAAAGCACAAGTAAAACTTGAGTTGGAACAGGAAAAGAAGGCACAACAGAATGATACAGAATTAAAACACGAAACTGAAGATAAAGTCAGAGACAATTCATTGCTAGCTGTAACCGATGTATATTTTCGTTGTCCATACTTATCTAATGAAATATTACCAAGAGATGAATGGAAGAAAAAGATAAAGGAATTTTTGTATGACCAGTTAAAAGGAGAAGAAGCTGGTCTAACAGCATGTTTAGTTATACAAAATTGTAATTCTGGAAGAGAAAAAATTAACAACTGTGTTGAAACACTTGGAAAATATTTAGAAAATATCATAAATAATCCAGAGGCAGAGAAATATAGAAAAATCAGAATGCATAATAAAATATTTCAAGTAAGATTCATCTTTTACCAGCAAATTTGAAAGGAAAGAGTACTTAATGAAAGTCTTTTATTTTCTTGAGCTCCTTGCTCTGTACGCATAAAAATGGTTTAATATCTTTCTTTAAAACTTTTATAAGTACCACAAATTAAATTAAAGCAAGTGAAAATGCAAGTGAAGTGTCTAGTATGATATTTTGTTAATTAATTATTAACTATACTCTCACTTTTATTTTAATTTAAGTGATTAAAATATACAATATATATTTCATTTGTTTTAATTTTGCACAAAAAGAAATTGAAGATTTTCATTAGGTTTCCTTTGTTATAGATACCTACAGGTAATTAACAAAATGATGTATTTAATATTTTAAAGGAGAAAGTGCTCCCTGTAGAAGGCGCGTTGGACTTTTTACATGCTGCTGGCTTTCGTCAAACAAAGTTGCTGCATAATGATGTAGTAGAAGATTTCTTAGTTTGGGATCCAGAGAACTGTGATATTGTGAACCTTACCATGCTATCGGAAGCATTAATATCTGCAGAAGTTATCCCACTTGAATTAGATAGAAACCTCCAAGTATTGTTGCCTATGCAAGCAAGTCAGAGAAGTGAATTGCCGCCAAGCTTTTTTAATTTAACACCGGAGGAATTACGAAGAGAACAACAACTACGGTAATAATATTTATTTAAATGAAATATAAAATGTAGTCAATCAGTCTTGACTTCAAAAAACTTCTTTTCTATTAACATTTACAGAACTCAAAACGTTGAAAAAAGTCAAATGCTGAGAACAAGAGCTATGAGAGAAACAGAGGAGAAACAACAGCGACTTAGAAAATATAAATACGCTTTGATTCGTATCAGATTTCCAGATGATATTATTCTACAGGGAACATTTTCTGTACATGAAAAGTTTCAAAATGTAGTCGATTTTGTTAGTGAAAACATAGTAAACAGTGAGACGTCTTTTATGTTAAAAGGTTTAATTGGAGAAACATTTAACAAAAAATGTTTAGATAAAACTTTACTTGAACTGGAATTGTTTCCTGCTGCTCTTTTAATATTTGCTGTTAAGGACGAGTCGAAGAAACCGAATGATTCTACAGGGTATTTGAAAGAAGAAATACTCTCTTATGTTCAGTCCATTTAAAATTATGTTTATTGTAACTATTAATCATTGTGTATTCTAAGTCTATTACAATGTAAAAACGGTAAACAGTTTATGGCCAGGCCTACATTTTTCTAACATAACGGAAATATTATTCAAATTGTATAGTGTTATCAGAATAATTTGTAATCATTCCAATTATCAGACACACATAAAATTTCTAAAATTGGTTGCAGTAGTTTTATATGTAAATTTATTAGATGAAATTTTTTTAAAATACTTCCAATACTTATGCATGTTGTATCTCTTATTTGAAAATTTTTGTTTATTTATATTGCATATATAGCATTGTATGTAAAATTTTATTTATTCATAGTAAAATTTCAATGTATCCAATGATTTCTTTTACAATTTCCTTATATGCAATACAGTTTGCTACTTTGAGTTACGAGTATAAAATAAAATAAAATAAAATAAAAAAGATTATACTTACAAATTGATATTACTTTTTTATTGTACAAATATAGAGTTATTGAGGATACATTACAATCAAATAAAAATCAAATGGGTCCTTTGAAGTAATATTCTTTACCTTCGTCTGTATTGAAATAGTAAAATTAATGTTCTTTATGTTACATGCCCAATCATCTATGTAACATTAAAACACGCAAGTGAGATTATAATTCACCATGCAAGTATATTAATTTTGCATATTTGTATATCTTGGCACTTTGGTTGTCCTATTAATATTTTATATCAGTCTTTTTACATTCTTATGTACTTTTTAAAATCTACTCTGGAAATTTATATTTAACAGAAATACTGTAAGAATATAGTATACATGTATCGAATAATGTATGTGATATGTATAGTGTATCCAATCAATTCACGAGGTAAAATACGAAAATAAATCACGAGGTACATAAAAGTTAATTATGTGTACACGTAGTATTTACTATACAATTGTGAAAAACTGAAACAAATGAATATTAATAAATACGAACGAGCTATTTTCATTGTAAAAAGATTGCTAGTTCAATAGTTATGAGATAATAAAATAATATATCAACAAGAATATATTTCAAGTCTAGATAAAATCTTTTTTATAATGCCAACGACGCCGTAAATTGTAAACGAATTCATCTTGTTTCCTGAGACGAATCGTTCGAAGAATGACTTTTTGTTTCGACAGGTAAAGCGAGTGTAGCTGCAGCAGCACATAATGCTGTCACAGCGTATACCGTCATTGCTCCAGTTATAGACCATTGGAGAAATACTTGTGCTATGTATGGCGTGATCATCGCACCAATTCTAGCCATGGCACTACAAGTACTAACTCCAATACTACGCAAATGTGTTGGATATACTTCCGGTGTATATACATAAGCTGCTTGAAAGACACCAGCAATTAGGCCTCTGGCTAGAAAAATTGCGAGCGTCAAAGCTATTCTGTTCAACAAGCAGGCTCTACCTAACAAACAGATTAGCATGGCAAACATTACTAGTTGAAAAGCCATTGTTTTTCGTCTGCCAATTTTTTCGATCGCGAAAATTGTGGAAAAAATTCCCGGAAATTCCGCTAGTGTTGTCCAAAGAAGATCAATGTAATCGCTACGTTCTAAGCGACAATCTAATTGACATGTATCTTCTTTTTTATTTTCCCACGAGCTACATTGCTCCGATGATGTATGAAACAGTTCTGTTGTCATTAGTACTACACCATAATAACAGAATGCTGTGCTCATCCTAAAAGTATTATAATGTATGTATATTGTTCTTGAAATGTGTAATTTTCATGCTTCAAGGACACAAAGTAAACTGAAATATTTACCATACAAGCCAAAGTAAAGTAGATGTTCTGCACATTTCTTTGTTTAGTATATCTTTCAATTTACCACGATTCACTTGATAAAAACGATCCATAACTAATCTTCCTGGAGGCAAGGGTTTTTTATTTTCTCTTGCTACTCGTTCTAACGTGGAAACAGCTTTATCCATCCTTCCCATTGACAGATCAAATATCATGGACTCTGGTAACCACTATCGGAATATATGATAAAGGCCATATACAACTTTCATAATATTTTCATCTATATTTTACTCACTGGAGTGATAATAGCAAATACAAGAAGCGGTATTGTTGACAGAATAAGGAGCCACCTCCAACCAAAGTTTGGCATTATTGCCAATGCTATTGCGACCTCGAAGCAAGCACCAAGTGCCCAAAAGCACTGTTAAACAAACAATTTTATGTATGGTCAAGTAACAAATATCAACTTTATTAATGTTTATTCATTTATACTTACATCCAATAAAATAACACATTTTGCTCTTTGTTTTGCTGGAAGAAACTCTGCATACAGCGTTACTCTGAAATAATAATGAATTAGTATTACTTCGAATGTATGTGTAAAATGTTGCTTTCATTTACAAAACTTACCAAATACTTACGATTGCGGTACACACCCAATAGCAAAGCCAACTAATCCTCTAAGTAACAAAATCCATAGGAAATTTGGTGCGAAAGAACTCAAGAAAGCATAGTAAAATAATAAAATTGCACATAGCGTTAGGGATTGCTTACTACCATATCTGTCGCTCAAATTACTCCAGAATGTAGAACTCAGCATCATACCTAGAAAGACAACCTACAAACGATCATTGTAACATATACATATGTGCATTTATATATTATCTATAATACATATTAAAATTATTCTAACAACTGTATTAAGTATAAATGTTTTACTGAATAATGAATACTACCGTGGTTGCCAAAGCTTGTTGATATCTAGTGATACCCCAGTCGCAATGCAAAGATGGACTTAAAATACTTAATATTGTTATTTCCATACTGTCTACCATCCAACAAAGACCCGTAAATAAGGATAATTTAACTTGAAATTTTCCAAATCCTAATGCATTGATAGCTTGGATTACTGTAAACGTATCTGTCAATGAATATTAACATAAATATCATATTGTAATAACATGTATTACTATGTAAGCAACCAAATTATATTAAAAAGAAAACAATATTGTCAACGATTTATTAGCATTATATATGATTGTAATGAAAAAGAAAGTAAAATAGAAAGTAGTTGTATAATCTTATATATATACTGCACTTTTTTATAAAATGATTTTATCTAGAAAAATACAATTTCATGTTTCTGTTGTACATGGAACTACATTATTTAAATATATTTACAATCTATATACACTATGTATTTCTGGTGAAAAGAATATAGTTGGTATTAAATTTGTCAATGTCAGTTCAATATGTATCTCAGAGAAACAAACGAATTACAATGTTTCAACTCTTGATTTAATTATCTTATTGGTTTTCTTTAGATTCTAATTATTGCAAAAATTCATTACATGTGATAGTTCTGCCTCTGATAAATATGTGGCATATTATAAAAGGTGATTCTGGAAAGGAACAATGGATACAGCTCTAGACCTGTTGCATCAATAGGTACTAAACTTTCAATGTCAAATTTATACTGCATCATATCTTTTTCATTAAGAGTACCAAATGTAAACAATACCTGACATTTTCTATCAAACATTTATTAAGAACAGTTTAACCATTCTAGTTTAATTTAGTGTTTTTATTACTTTTAAATATATAATACATATATTTAAACTTTGTTAATATATTTTCATAAATTATAGTTCAACATACAAATAAGAGATCCGCAATGTTCATAACTAATATGAGAATTCAAACAGATTTTAAATACATATTGTTTGAATATTTCAATAACTTTCGCTCAGAGAATTTAAAAAAATGTAGATATATTTTTAAAGGTATAATTACATTTTATAGACAAAATAAGACAATAAAAATTTAATTAAAGGAACAATTTTTTCCTTCTGTATTTAATTTACCATATGTATATTTACAATATTTGTTAATTGATCTTAAATCATTCAGATAACAGTACACACATTCAGCCTTAAAATGTTAACTACAATATAATATGTACATTACAAAATGATAGAATAATTTATTAATTAGAATTAGTTTTGTAAAAGTAGAAAGAAATATTTTAATTACCCTGATAACCAGTTGTGTACAAGTTTCGTGCAAATTGCCAACAATAAATGACAAAAGTTGTATAAAAAACCATAGCTATCTGTTTCCATATTTGACTTAGGTTTTGTAGGCAATGCCAGCTAACAAAGTGGTAAAGCAAATTGGCAGAAAGTCTTGCAACATGACCTATGCCAAATCAGTGGCAAAACTGCAACAAGGTTTGTGCAAGCCAATTTACTGCATATGCTGTTGTCAATGTGCGCGCAAGTTGTTTATAGTAAATCTTGCATCAAATTTGTAGCCATAAATTTATAAGAGGCATTGGACAAAATTTAGCTTTGCAAGTTTGACTGACTGGATACTTAAATAATATAATTAATATTCTTATTCCATTGTATTGCTAATATGAATTGTTAGTAAATTTCAAATTCATACCCAGGTAGAAACAAAGTACATTGCATTAAGAACCTTGTAGATAGTTGGTTTCATTCATAACACATATTAATTAAAACAACCCCCTTAAATCCGAGTTATATTTTCATGCATAGTAAGATATTTACACAACTTATAGTTACCCACTCCTCTATAAAATAGAGTTAAGCAGATCACCCTGCACATAAAAAACTGTCAGTAACATTATAAAGAGACATTAGAATAATTTGCATATTCGGATAATTTCAATATTTTTATATGAACTGTATCTGCATATATTTTATAAAACTGATATACCATCTGGAATTACTACGACAGAAGACAATTCCATAGAACGTTCGACATTGTTTCCTAAATTTCTGCTACATCTTGAAATATTGCCTGGATAAACATTTAATTCGGAACTACGTAACTCTAATTCACGATACGGTTCGTTAGATTTTTGACACTGATCAGACGACATGATTGTTTACTTATCATTTACATACACAAGACACAATTTCAAAAAAAGGAAACGTTTCAAGTACTTAAATATGTCACTAACAACACAATTAATTAATATAAGAAGTTAAATAGAACGAGTAACTGATGTGTATATAAATTTTGATTAGTATATATTTAGAGTGTGACAGTTCTATAATCGAAGTAAGGTTAGTTTCAGTTAGGTCTTAATCACGGTCGTATAAACAGGCCCAGAAATTCCCGTGGTGGGGGTGATTCTTTAATGAAGACCAAAAGTTTCATGAATCTTCCGCTAGCCACATAGCGCTGCAATCGATGCGTCCGTACAAAAACGCATGCTGATGCAGTGCACGGTCGTATACACCGTGCGCATGCGGAACACAACTTGTGCGCGCTGCCAGTAGAGAGCGTGCCACGTAAGTAGCATTCGTTTCCTGCACTAGTCTGGGCTGTAGAGAGCCAGAATTCCAGGAATCGTACAGGAATCGGTCACCAATTACCCGAGCGCTTTCCCCACCACTCGGCCGTTCAGTCGTGCGACACAGCTGCATATAGGGTGGGCCGGATATGCGCACTTTACGATTAAATTAATTGTCTCCGTTATTTTTAGAGATATCAGAAAAGTTTATTCACAGAAGTTATTCAGTATGAAGAGGGCTATTACTTAGCAGTAACAAGTTTTTCGTAGGTGGAGTATCTTCTAAATTCTAAGTTTTCAAAATTAATTATGTTATTTTTATTAATGATATTGAAATATGATGAAATAAAATACTTTTATTACATAAATCGATTCTTCCAAATATTCTGCGTGATAGAGTATTAAGATATTATGTGAAAAAGGTAATAATTCGTGACATATTTTAGTAACAAATGTCTAGCATGGTTAGCATCTTTCACCCATTACGTGTGATCCACGAGACAAGAAGCAATCAAATTACCACCAATATTCATTCCACCAATAAAAACATTATTAAAACAGTATTATATACATTTCACTTTCTGTGATGAGATATGCGTGTTAAACGCGACACCGTATGTGTTTCGGCCTGGGCGTGCTGGACGACAGATAGGGTTCATTCAAAATACAGTAGACATTTGTTTATTGTCGACCCTTTTATTGTAGCATGGGAACGCCCTTCGCTCACACGTATTTCTCACAAAAGTGCGCACACATAGTATATATAGACAGAGCATGAACTAAGCGGGGGAGTAAGATTCGCGGTAGGTGGGTGGTTAGTTATAAATCGGGTAACTTCGTTTCTTTTCGGTGCTATTCGGGTATACAATCACGTTACATATATGTAAGCTATGAGAGATGAAAAGAATATGCTTGTTAAAAATTCCGTATTTCATGTAGTTTGTATAGATATATGTATTTCCACGAGAGTTTCTGGACCTATATATATATACGACTGTGGGTTGTAATAAGAAGAAAGTGTATTGTTTTAGAAAAGACAGCATATTTTTTTATTTCTGTGTGAGTAACACTGATCTGTATATATGGATACGGGATGGGGGCTTCTGTATTTATTTGTTGTATATAAAGAACATGAAGTGTGAACGATAAATCAGTGAGAAACTGGTTGAGACAAGTACTAATAGTATATAGTATACTATAATAGTATATGTGAATAGGTATACATGGAATGGAAAGCGTTAGTTACCATTAATCTATGTAGGCGGCGCAGTTGCTTTATTCTCAAAGATGGCGTACTTTCAAAATACAGCAACCCCATATACCCCATCCCGTTATGGGATTCCCGTATCCATATGTAGGTATAAGCCTACCAGAGGGACAGGAACAAGACTGGAATACGTAGTTATAGTTGTAATACTGTTTTATTGCGTACGTGCGTTACGCTCGTGTGACTACACTGACTGACTCGTGGTTCGGTCAGGACGCCAAGAGTGCCTCGGGTAAAATCCCCTAGGTCATCTCGTCGCCTAATTGCTGTCAGTTGGCAGCGGTGCCCCTGCGCCATCTGCGGGAGTGCTAGGGAGTTATACTTTGCTCCCTACACATTATATAAATCAGTGGTGGGTAAATAGTAGAGTAGTTTCTCTACAATTGCATATAGTTTCAGGATATTTACGTTACGATTGATATTTTGACGCGACGCATTAATGATTGTTGAAGTACGAGGAAGTGCCTGTAAGTTTGCACAATGAAGATGACATCGGATGGATAAACAACTTCGCAAATAGGAATATCATACAAAAAAATTAATAACGAAGAATGTGAAAAATCTCGATGATATTCGATGAGCATCATCTCACGTATGTTACATCGGAATAACTGTACGTGATATTTACACTTGAATGTTAAATGAATGGTCTGTTTATGGTCTAATTACTCTTAAAATATGAGCGTCGATAGTGAAAATAAATCAAACGAAGCTATAGTTCCATTTACACCGTCGATAGACCAAGAAAATACTGATAATGGAAATATTGAAAGAACCCCTGTAACCCCAGAAATGGTGCTGCGTTTATCTACAATTACCGATAGTAAGACAATTAACTTTTACTACGATATATATACATTGATAATAAACAAAAAATCAGACAGCAGGTTATTATTCTTTTTATTACTATTGTGTATCATATAAAATGATAATTCATTTTGTTTCAGAATATTTATGTTCTCCAGAAGCAAATATTTATAACATTGATTTTACAAGATTTCAAATTAGAGATCTAGAAACAGGAGCAATATTGTTTGAAATAACCAAACCACCTGCTATTGGTTAGTAGTAGTTAAAATATATTCTATTACCTTACGTAAACATTATAATTTAACATATAACAGAAATGTTTTATTTATATACTTTAGAAGGTGATTCTGCTCAAGATGTTGAACCAGATTGCGAAGAATCTGGTTGCGAGGATGCAAATACTGGCCGTTGTGTACGATATCAATTTACACCTCAATTTCTTAAGCTGAAGACTGTTGGAGCAACATTAGAATTTCTCGTGGGTTCCAAGCCAGTAAATAATTTTCGTATGATTGAACGTTACTTCTTTCGAGACAGGTTGCTAAAAACCTTTGATTTTCAATTTGGGTTTTGTATACCGAACAGCAAGAATACTTGTGAACATATTTACGAGTTTCCTACCTTGCCTGCTGATCTGGGTAAGTGATAAAACCGACTATTGAATTAATCTTGTATTACATCTTTATTAAAAATGACCTTACAGTTTCTGAAATGATTGCAAACCCATTTGAAACACGCTCAGATTCATTTTATTTTGTGGACAATCAATTGGTAATGCACAATAAAGCAGACTATGCATACAATGGTGGACATACACATGATGTACTTTAGTATGCGATTTGTCGAATAGAACATGAACAGAAATTAGAAAGGAATTTGCACTTTGCAAAGATCATTGTGATAATTGTAACACACACTTAGCTAATTTTAAATTGTACCTTTATTTCTTGTACACGAAATTGCAATTTTAAATTTTTACATTAATTCTTAAATACAAAATTTATACATAGTTCCCTTAATCTGTTTGAATTGAATTTATATATCTTGTTGAACACTTTTGCATCGAAATCATAGTTGATTAAGCACATGATGTTTTAATAATATCTAAAAGTGTTATTAGAATTTCATTTCATGGATAACTATTCTTTATTCAAGCATGGCCTTGTACAAAACTATTTTTTAGTTATGGTTTTCAAGCTGAAAAATATTAAATATACAGTTTATGAAAATGTAACGAATAAGGAGCAAGTATAAAATGTTTAAATTTCGTAAGTTCTTACCTGACACAGAATTCACAATGTGTTTACACTGTATACAATTATATTTTACCTTGCTATTTTTCACTTATGATCTGTAATGTTACAAATTTCACATAAATACATATATATGTTTACAAAGTGCATTGTGTTTTTCTTATACTAGTATAATAATTACAATTATGTTTGATTAATGAAATTAATAACAATCTTCAAGAATTCAGTTGGTTTATCTGCATGAACCCAATGATTAGCACCATTTATATAGAGGAATTCCGCAGAAGGAAATAATTCTTTAATTTTATTATGATCTTCTACTTTTATGTAATCACTTAATGCACCTCCTACAAATAATGTTGGTCCCTTATAAACCTGTGATTCTATATGTGGGAAAACTGCTATTTGTGTTGTAAAATTTTCCGCGAGTACAGGTAAATTAACTCGCCATTTATATTTTCCAACATCAGCTTCCACTAGGTTCATTATTAAAAACTGCAATGCAATTTAATTTTAATATGTGCAAAAAATCACTAAATAAATTAGAGAAAAGGGAAAAGATAATTATTTACCTGACGGAAAGTCAGAGATTTAATAGTATCTGCAAGCTGTTCCTCTGCCATTCTACGCGCCTTTGTTAATGTTGGGCTTCCAGTCAATTTTACCATACGCATAGCATTAAATATTTTTTCTATCTCCATGAGTTGAGGACTGGTCCTCACTGGAGACATATCTACTACTATTAATTTTTCTACTAATTCTGGATAATGTAAAGCTATATACATCATCGTTGATCCTCCCATACTATGTCCAAGTAATACAGATTTCTCAAACCCCAAATCATGCATAAGCTGAGTTATATCTTTCGCCATATGTCTATATGTCATATGTGTAGAATGTGGAGAATCTCCATGGTTCCTTGCATCTACACTTATTACCTATAAACACATTCCAAGTATTCTTCATATTATATAAATTCCATGTATCTACCTTACGATCTGTTTGCTGATGTATTGTTTTTGATAAGGTGTTCCAGTTATTCTTTGAACCAAAAAGACCGTGCATTATAATAATAGGATACTTAGAAGCATCTTTATTTCCCTTCATTGATTCGTAAGATGCATATGCAAGTTTTACTGTTGGTATACTTGAGTGAAAATATATAAAGATAATACCTGACAAGTAATAAATAAGGTCACTGTGCATATATAGTCAAATTCAAACTTACGAAGTGGAATTAATATGTATGTATTTGGATGATAGGGACGAGGTGATAAAATCTTGTCTCCAATGTTGCACAAAAATATTTCGTGATATACAATAATGAAATCGTATACCACACATCTTTTTTTGTTTTTTTGGTTGCAGGAGCAATCTACGAGAATTCTTATTTATGTATCAAAAATTTTCTTAACATTTCCACTGTTTAAGAGGATAAGTATTTCACGTTATTTTTTGATAACGTACAATTATGAAATAGTGTCTGATAATGATTGATTGCAAAATAATATTATAAGTCAGAACACAAATACTGATCGTCTTATTGTATAAGAACGTCACTTCGACCTAATTCAAATACACGGTCATCCAATAATATTGCAACTGCATGTATCCGGGTCTGGACTACTTTGGACACAATGTATTATTTTGTTAACGCGAACAGTACCCTCTAGCGGATTGATTTAGCAACTAAATTGCTATAGGCGGGGAATTTGAAACGTAGGTTTAGTACTCCAGTTAAAGTCATTAAAGTTCAGCAACGACTGAGATAAAATTTCTACATAACTAAAGGACAGTGTCTTGTTCTGCGAGGTTGTGCCGAAAAACGGAAGGGGAATCGATCGTCAGCCATCTTGTGAGGCTAAATTTATAGTGCACTCTGCAGGCAAGTTTAATTATTTATTAATACTAACGTGGTTTGGTGTTACTTGGCGTGTTTTAGAGTACACTTGATTTATTTATAAATCTAATTATAAAAATGGCATCTTGCATTGTAAAATAACTGTATAATTATAAAATACACCTCAGAAAATGCATCATACAACATTATATGTTAAAGTAAGATATGACCATATGTCTAAATAAAGTGAACATACTTCACACACTAAAAGATCCTATTTTAATAAACTTATCTTGTTTTCTGGTCACTAAATTTCTTGTGTTATTATTGACCGTATATATTAAAACTTTAGAGATGTATATATTATTATAAAAATAAATATATATTATTTATAAAAATATTTGTGACTTTCTAAAACATATCCTTGATGATAAAACTTAACACGTAAAGATAAAATTATTATCTAATTTACAGTTACATAACTTAAAGCATATTGCCGCGACATGATCTAGGTGGCAACACTTAGTTAGCGGCACAATATGGCTGAACATGGAGTACCCATAGACATATATAATAGATGCGCGGTCTTATGGTAGGGATGAGTTTGGTTTGCCCTGCGGGGGGCGCGATTTATAGGGGTCACAGCCGCGATGACTCCTTGCGTCGCCCGCAGGGCAACCGGGCCTAGGGGGTGGTACTGGGGGTACCACCTCCTTTCGCAACCGGTCCACGAGAAGACAGTGTCGAGGGGTCACTTAGTCACTTCTCGACGCTGTAGGTAGGAGTTGAAGGGACGGCACAATAGCCGTCCCGAGGGGAGGGGAGCAATCGCTACCCGCCCCCCAGAGAAGGGCTTTCCTTTAAATATTCATAGGGAGGTCATGGGCGGTACTGGTCGCGGTGCATGCCGAATGTACCTGTTGCCAGCCCCTACGCCTGAGGGTCACCGGAGAGTTTTTAGTGGGTGAAATCCCACATTGGCCGTCTCCACCCCCAACGAAAACGGTGCACCTTTTTCAAGGTTTTCCCCCGTGTTAAAAAAAAAGGGATCAGGTGGGCAGTAGAGTGAGAGGATAATACATGGAGTCACAGACTTTTCTTTCTAATGGGGCTGTTGATGGGGAATCTCCTATGCTGTGTGGAGGCATTACATGCGTGCAGCATTCCTTCTTCTCATCGCCCACCAGTCGCTTTCTCCCCTCTCTCTGCGATGTGCGAGCGAGAGAGGAATGACTCCATCGCTACTTCTGTACTTCGGTCTTGCTTCATCCCTACCATATCACCGCGCAGTCTACTATATATGTCCATGTACCACAGCCGATTCTGCGGTGTGATAATAGACTGCGCGTCGTATGGTAGGGATGAAGCGAGACCGAAGGACAGAAGTATCCTGATAACCAGTTGTGTGCAAGTCTCGGGCAAGTTGCCAGCAATAATGTACAACTGTTGTCTACAAAACTGTAGCCATCTATTTTCGAATTTGACTACGGTTTTGTAGACAACGCTTGATGTCAACACATTTACACAAGTTGCACGCAACTGTTGTAGGTAGGATAGTTGAGATTGCGGTAGATCTGTAGATTATGGACATAGTAATAAAAGGAGGGAGTATAAGCTGAATGGTTGCAAAGCGTCTTCCGGGGAGCGGGGAACATGGTCACGTGGTATTCTGAGCCATATTGGCGATTGGTTATGATCGCGCAAGCGCATGGTGCAATCTTGTTTTCATCGAGTAAAAGTGTACCCAGTGTAACCAGTTGAGGTGAGGTAATTATTTTGGACAAAAATATTTATATCTCTAATACAGACGAAGTATAGGGGTAGACATTTCATCTAATTTATTTTTTTGGTCCACTTTTCTGGGGCGACGTCGCCCCCTTTCAATTTTAGTGTCACTACCCACGACAGATTCACCGTTCTCATGATGTAGAGGTCGCTAAAATCACAGGCTGTTTAAGGTGTCGGTATTACAGTTTAGGTGGATCACCTACTCTCATAAGATGAAAAGTCTATTCTTATACCTTGTTATACTTATTGTTGTATTAATCGCTTTTGCTTCATTAAGCGAGGAAATTAAGGTTCAAAGAACACAAATTGAATCCTAATTGTTCTTATACATTCCTAAGTATGTATCCGTGCATACATACAAAGTTCGATGATAACGCGTTTGATAGTAATTTTTAGATAGCGGAGACAGTCGACACATGCCTATTATCAGTATATTGTAAATTTCGTAATGATTAAAATATATTTAATATCATCGTCTAATACTTAAACAACTGCTGAGATTAAAAAGAATTAAAAGAAATTGGTAAAAATGGTAACTATAGTGGCCAACATAGACGACATCAAATTAAAGGCTTTGGAAGCGTTCAAGAAAGAATTCGCTGAAAATGCAGATATTTGTGTATGTGCACCGGGTCGCGTGAATTTAATCGGAGAACACACTGACTACAACGAGGGTTTTGTATTGCCGATGGTAAAATTCCGAATATTTAAATAAATGTTGCACTTAATGTTATATAGAAATGAAACCATAGAGTTTCTAATTTTTTTCACTTTTTCAGTGGAAAGTGGAAAATGTACTTTATAAACATAATATTAAAGGAACTATTTTCAGTTACTATTTTGATCAATAGCTGTATTGCATCATCGTTTAAATCCGTGATGATTAACCTTTTTTTGCAGTAGGCCACAAAAAATTGAAAACTTAATACAGAGTAATCAGTAAGGGCCGTTGTAACGGCAACCTTAAGAAATTTAACTTATTAATTTATTGTAACTTTTACTTAATGGTTTTCACTTTAGCTGATTGAAGTGGGCCTAGTGATGGGCACCATTGACTAATGACTATTAGTCGATAGTTTTTAGTCGACTGAAATTTTGCTTTATAGGTTATGTATAGATTATATCATCAACTTTTCAGCACCATTGGTGTATTTACCTTTTGGAACTGTATTAGTTCATAGATAGAATTACAAAAATATAAGTGGTAAACAAGTTTTTTTAAACAATTACTAATATTCGATTTTTTGTAAGCTATTTAATATTGGCACTTAAAAAATTAAGTGCTCTAAATTTTTTATGAAAATCAATTAGGTTATAAGCAATAATTTAGCAAAAAAAATATATGGAAAAATTACAATTAGTTCGCATCGCGAAGAAAATAATCAAGATCCAGTTAATAGCGATCAATAGCTCGATAGTTCAAACGACTAAATGTAGTCGACTGAAGGTAGTCGTTGATTACTATCGACTTAGTCGATAGTTTTTAGTCGATGGTGCACAAAGAATTTGGGCAGATCGCGGGTTCATCATTCGTTTGAATTATTAATTAACATTTTTTGGAACAATATCATACTGTTTCGTTATTAATTTATAGATTATTACTATGTAATTTTGTTATTTTATTTAACGTTTCAATAATAGCCGTACTATTATTGGAACATTAAATTAACGTTAAATTAACCAATTGAAATTATTGATGGTGAAGTAAATGGAAAATAACGTATCATATTTTTTCTAGAATAGTATTTCACTTACTCATACAACATATATTTGGTAATTATTTAGAAGTTTGACTTCTTCACAGATTTCAATGATCTTGAAATTTGTTGTGAAGGTCATCATTCTAAACACCTTTTTCCTATCTGATAACGAGTTGTGTACATGTTTCGAGCAAATTGCCAGCAAATAATGACAAAAATTGTCTAAAAAAACCATAACCATCTGTTTCTGTATTTGGTTTGGGTTTTGCAGGCAACGCCAGCTGACAAAATGGTAAAGCATATTGGCAGCAAGTCTCGCAACATAATCTGTGTCAAATTGTGGGCAAAAACGGAACAGAATCTGCGCGAGCCAATTTGCTGCATATGTTGCTGCCAATGTGCGCGCAAGTTGTTTATACCAAATCTTGCATCAAACTTGTAGTTATAACTTTATAACAGGCATTGAACAACATTTGGCTTTGCAGGTTTTGCTGACTGGAAATTATTTTATGATAGATTTCTCAACAGTAAATAATTGTAATAATAACATGAATTTATAATGAATTGAATAAATACTAAAGAAATAAATTATATAAAGTCAAAAAGTAAAAAAAAGCGGCACAAGTGTATAAAATTAGTTCTTTCATGTCTATATATATGATCAACAACAATAAACTAACAAGGGAACCCCGCGGTGACTGATACACGCCGATACTGATCCAACTTTGTACACATGTTCATTAGATGTACCTAAAAATTTAGCCGTAAATTGTTCATACGCGTTTTTTACGCTAAGGGAGAAATCAACCCTTGTATGTAAGTGTTTATAAATCTTAAACCACAAAAAATATAGAAAAAACTGTTTAAATAAGAGTTAGACTATTTCTTGATGCCTATAAATCTGTGCGAAAAATTTGTTGAAAAATTAATTTTTTTATGAAAATCAAATTGACCCCTCTTTTCTTGTGAAATTTTCGGCACAGATTTATAGGCATTAAGAAACGATATAACTTTTATTTTAACAATTTTTTATATCTTTTGTGGTTGAAGATTTATAAGCACTTACATAGAAGGGTTGTATTCTTTCTTAACGTAAAAAACGGGTGCAAACGATTTGCAGCTAAATTCTTAGGTAAGTCTAATGAACATTTGTACAAAGTTGCATCAAAGTCTGGAAAATATCCAAAATTATTTCTCTCCATTGGAACACGAATTGTTTAATAGAAACAAATAAAAATATATTATCAAATGAACCGATTACTTTTTTAGGCACTACCTATGGTCACAGTGGTAGCTGGAAAACGAAGTAACACAAAAAAATGCAAGATTATCTCCCTCAGTGAGACACTAGGTTCTGAAAATTGGGTTGAATTTGAACTCATCACCAGAGAAAGTATAAAACCAGGTGAACCAAAGTGGGCTAATTATGTGAAAGGATGTATAGCACACTTTGTTTGTGAGTTTAACCCATATATTTTCATTATATTCCCATTATATTTTATTGAAAAATAATTAATTATATGTGATTGAATTATAATAAATACTATTTCTAGGTGATATACCAGCTTTTAATGCTGTAGTTGTATCCTCTGTACCCGTTGGAGCTGGACTAAGCAGTTCAGCTGCTCTAGAAGTGGCTACATATACCTTTTTAGAAGTGTTAACTGGACTGCAGTCAAAGCCAGAAGACAAGGTATATCAGTTGCAATTTATTTATTTTATACTATTTCATTGAAAAGAGGTAGAAGTTAGCACATAGTACGTTTCAGGCCTTGGCATGTCAGCGTGCTGAGCATGACTTTGCCAAAGTTCCATGTGGCATAATGGATCAATTCATTTCTGTGATGGGTAAAGTAGGGTATGCTCTGCTCCTAGATTGCAGAGATTTAACTACCAAGCAGATACCTATGTCACAAGCAGAAGACTATGTCTTTCTTATCACTAATTCAAATACTCCCCACAAGTTAAGCTCCAGTGCCTACTGTGAACGAAGAGAGAGCTGTTACCAAGCTGCACATAGGCTTAACAAAAAGAGTTTGCGTGAACTATCTGTAGATGACATTCAAGGTAAGAAAGTAACTTAAATAAGAAGATATTGCTTTATTAAATTGTTGTAATAATTGTAATCTATCATTTTCAGTGTTGCAATCACAGAATGTGTCTGAGGACATGATAAAAAGGACTCGCCATGTAGTTACAGAGATTCAGCGGACGATTGATGCAGCAGTGGCACTTGAAAAGGGAGACTTTGACATGTTTGGGAAATTAATGAATGAAAGTCATGATTCACTGCGAGATGATTATGAGGTTTCTTCTGTCGAACTTGACACCTTGGTGTCAGCAGCAAGGGAGATGAAAGGTGTTTTGGGTAGTCGTTTAATTGGTGCTGGTTTTGGGGGCTGTACAGTAACCTTGCTACAAAAAAATGTGACCAATGAAGTCATTAGTCATATAAAGTCTAAGTAAAATGCTGTTCCCTTTTTAACACTGTTAGCTTTACTGACTGATGATGTTCTGAAAAACATATTGTTTTTGTACAGGTATCCTGGACAAGCAACATTTTACATCGCACAGCCTACAACAGGAGCAAGAATACTGTACAGAGCTTGAATGATATACTACTAAAATAAAAAAAAATGAAAAGTAAAGGATCCTTCAGACATATGTAACATTGATACAATGTAAAGAAACGAAATAATAATAGAGAAATGATTTATTTATGTAATAATTTTGGTAATCGAAGTAATAAGTTTGTCGCAATATAATATACGTATATGTACGTATTATTTGTATTAGTATAGTAATCAAGAATGCTCTGAATACACACTCAAGTATTGTATAAAAGAAAATTAACACTCATAGTATTTTTAACAAATCGCAAAATAAGTGTATAATTTCACTGAAAATTTAATTTTTATTGTCTAGAATTTATATTACATATGAAGTAAAATAAATGAAAATGTAGTGCCTTGTATATGTGACAAAAATATATAGTTATAACTGGACACTATTGCCACATACACGTGTGTATATCTGGGATATGAAACAGGTATTCGTACCTGTGCAATGCCAGTTGTACATTATACAAATTACTTAAGATGTAGTTTTCCTACTTTGTTGAGTATCTTGATGCTTCCAATTTAAGAACTCATCTAAAAATGCTATTAACAAAGGGTTCCCCCCCAATCGTTGAATCTCGTTCCTCGCTTTCTTATCCAATTCTTCGAACACTGCTCTTGTATAAGCGAAGGAACCAAATTTTTCTAACAAGTTAACACAGTATCGTTTCACTTCGATATCCTTGGTTCGTTGTCGCAAAATGTCTTTATATCTGTTCATTAAGGAATAATGCTTCTGTTTATCGAAATACCCTGGAAGAATATATGGGCAAAGGATACTCATCAGCTGTCGGTCCTCTGGATGGCTCCGTATAGCATGAATGATGGGAAAACTAAATTTCCCTTCCGACAGATCCTCGCAGAAACTTTTGTTCTCAAAGTACTGTAAAGATCGCTACAGTATACTAAAACATTAAGACTCATATTAAACTACACTTACATCCTTGAGGCAAAGATTACAATAATCGTCACGAATCTGAAAGTAGAGCCCTAAGATTCCAGCTAGAGGTGTATAGTCCTCTTTGCAATCTGAAAACAACTGCATTAAACGGACAGCCAAATTGAAGAGTCCACCCGTTTCTGTAACACATTTATTAGTTATAATGTTCATGCCTGTTACAAAGAAGTGAGATACTCAAAATCATTTTTAGAATATTGTTACTTCTTACTCTGAATAGTCATCTGCTTGTAGGCAGTTTCAGATGGACAAATGTAGTTGTCTCTCCAGTAAATTTCCATACCCTGACCTCTATGAAGTTCCAACAACTGTTCTAAATACACTTGTGTAGCCTGACAAGACAGAGAGTATTAAACTGAAAGTTTTTATAGGAGAAAGGATTGTATTGATGCTATTTACCTCTGGATGATTCAAAGCAATAACTCTTTCCAATGCAATAAAAATCGCATAATTCGCAGCATTTATTGTACTAGCTATCCCATAAATATTATGGGTTACAGGAATACCTCTCCTTAGAACTGAATTGTCTTGAATGTCGTCAAGTCTGTAAAAGTGATACCAATTTTAATTGAACAGTAATCAAGTGAGAACAAATGGTATCTTATCAACTTACAAGAGGCTAGAAGTGTGAAGCATCTGTATTATATCTCCAACTGCTTGTAGCTTATCCTGTGGTATCTTTAACCAGTAATTTAAAGCATGTGCTAGCTTTGCCCTGATATCTTTACCAGGAACTTGTAGAATATAACTGATAGGTTCCAGTAATATCTACAAAACATAAAATTCTAAGTGCTGAAGCACGAAATCGTGTTAACATGAAATTTTTATTCCCCAATGATAAGTCCCATCTATGTTTGTTACAATAACTTAAAACATTATTCAAAATGCATAGAAAGAAAAGGCAAATGAAAGTAATGTAGACATTTTTATCTCAAATCTTATTCAATGAAATAACTACTTATCTGAATACATTAAATAAATGTTATATTTTATGTATGTTTAAAATAAGTAGTACTTCATCTATTATCAAGTATTTCATCTGGATTATGAAGCTTCTATGGAAAACTCAAGTGAGTCTGAAATTTGATGCGACCACACTTAGACTTCTTTGTTTTTCAATTTTACCAACTGAACATAAAGGAAAACTACCTTGAATACAGATCTTATATGGACAATAATACTGTGAGAATGTATTAATGAATACTCTACTACTCTTATAATAAAATTTACTTAAAAAGAACTTGTTTTCCTTACAATAAACGTTATAAAATATATAAAATTCATAATCAGTAATTCAGAATTGTCAAAGTAAAACTTAAAATAAAAACAGTAAATGTCTCTTTTATGCAAGGGCAAATTGATTGATAAATCATTGATCAAAATAAGCTTTTGTAACACAGATCAAGGTTTAAGCCTCAGAAGGCTAATGTAATGAATATGACATGGTGAACATACCCTGATAACCACTTGTATGCAAGTTTGGAGCAAATTGCCAGCAAATAATGACAAAAGTTGTCTAAAAAATCATAGCCATCTGTTTCCGCATTTGACTTGGGCTTTGCAGGCAAAACCTGCTGACAAAATGGTAAAGCAAATTGGCAGCAAATTAGCAGCAAGTCTTGCAATACAACCCAGGCTAACTAAAGTATGTCAATTTATAACCTAGGCTATATTGCAAGACTTTCTCCTAATTTGCTGCCAATTTCCGTGCAAGTTTTTGATAGCAGATCTTGCATGAAACTTGTAGGCATGTTGAGTACGTAACATTATATCAGGCATTGGACAAAATCTGGCGTTATAAGTTTGGCTGCCTGGGTAGATTCATTTTGATCCATAGCAAAAATTTCATCGTGTATCATTCATTTTGGAAATGAAATTATGCACAAAATTGATATACAACTAATATATATTCTATATATATAATATACATATACCATGTAGCGTTTATTTATTTTTTTGGTATAATAGATGTTTACATTTTCAGTGTATAATTATAAGATAGTAAGTATAATAAAAATCTAGAATTAATAGAATAAGAAACATATATAATAATATTTCATTATCCGTTTGTTTGTTTCCAATAATCTTTTCATACTTTATAACAAAGAATATAATGATAATCATTGCCATTAGGTTCAAATAACGCTGCACCTGATAGGCAATGTTTAATTTAAACGAGAAGAGATGATCGTAAAAGTTAATAACTGTTATTTGTAGATGTTAACAATTTCGTGTCGTCTCTGTTATTAATTTTCCTTCAAAATTTCGTTTTACGGATTTTCATATTAATGCAGGCCATAAACTGAGTCTGATGGTATTGCTTGGAAAAAGAGCAACTAAAATAATTTAAGAATGAAAAGATAGTTTCGTTTGTTGTCACTTTGACAGGTTGCTTTTGACCCAGTTTTTAGGGAAATACTAACCTCATCTTCCTCCTTGTCGCCGGTCTTGGAATACGGAATATTTCTTTTCTGCTCCATGTTCCGGTTTGAACCAAACTAGCAAATTTGTAGCCACTGTTGTTATATATGAAATAGATCAATTATTAGTGCTTGCGAAAAACAAAGTTTTTGTCGTATTTTAATCACTCGATATAAATGACGGCCGTCGTCTGCTAGGCGGTCACGTTGCTGCAAGGTTCGATCATCGATGTTGATCGATGTTAAGGTGGTTTCTTAGACTCAGTGCCCCGAATTAATAATCGTACTAGGTAGTGTGATATATTTATTCATGAATAGATTGTGAATATTTACATAAATGCAGATTTTTATAGACTAGTTTATAGGAACTGAAATCAAGTAAAAATTGATTTACTGTATTACATAGGAGTTTCGTAAGGTTTTAACCTTACGGCTGCTGTCGTCGGGCGCGTCGCACAGTGGGAAAAAGTGCGATTGTAGCTAGACATAAGTGACAAAAGTCATTTTTTCTCAGGTATCCCACATAGGCATATGCCATATGTAATAGACTGCGCGTGCTAGAATAAGTGGATTTTACAACAAGACTGGGTTCCGGCGCATTCGGCCCAATTGACAATGAGAATGTGCAAAGTTCTGTTTTCGGAGGTCTGGGATAGAACGATATGGCCATCAAATTCACCCGATCTCAACGCAACGGATTATTCAGTTTGGTCAATTTTGGAGCGAAAAATGTCCTCTAAAAAATACACCACCGTAGAACAGTTAAAGTCTGCTTTAGAAAGAGCCTGAAATCAAATTATTACTGAAGAGTGTGCTAGCATAGCAAATAATTTTAAGAAGCGTCTCAGAGCTTGTGTGAAGGCTAAAGGAGGACATTTTGCGTACTTATTGTAAAATTTTATTTAGCGTTTTGTATTCTTTAAAATAAAATAAAAATTGTTTTAATTCGATGGGTTTTCATAGAGTTATCGTTCTTCGAAAGTATTGCGGGTATTTCATTGTCACCCTTTACACTTAAAAAATTAATTATTTCTTAAGCTACAATAGTTGTAGAATTATAGACAGGTTGAATTTTTTAAATATTTCATATATGTAATATTTATAGGAATAATCATTTAAAACAGTATTATTGGTTCACTTTTACTTTGTACTATATTAATAAGTTATGTATTATTACACCCTAGACATGATACGAAGTGTAGTTGATTATGACTGAAAATATCTATGTAAAAATATTGAAACATTTTATGAAAACGATATTCTATACACCACACATTCTGTGATGAAATATGCGAGTTAAACGCAACACCGTATGTATTTCATCCTGGCGACAGAGTGGGGTACGGGCACGTGTGTGGGGAAACGTGAGAGTGAGGGGCGTTACCAATATACAACAAGAGGGAGTCCGATTAACGAGCGGCCACTGTAAATATTGTTATCTAATAAAACTATATATCCGCTAAATTTTTCGATCGGTGGCGCTACCCGTGGTAATTTGCTAAAACAGCTAGCCAAATATACCGACAAGTGAGTGAAAATTCCTATGTACAGTGGCCGCTCGTTTATTGTATATTTCGGGGCTGTAGAGGGCCAGAATTCCAGGAATTATACAATAAACGTGCGCCAATTATCCGAACGCTTTCCCCACCACTCGGCCATGAAGTTGCGCAACGCAGCTACACATGTATAGGGTGGGCTTGGTATACGCAGTTTACGATTATGTTAATTATCTCCGTTATTTTTAGAGATATCAGGAAAGTGTATTCACAGAAGTTTTTTAGTGTGGGGAGGGCTATTACTTACCAGTCACAGTTTTTTTAGTAGGTGAAGGATCTTTTGAGTTCTCAAAGTTAATTATGTTCTTTTATTAATGATATTGAAATACTATAGAATAAAAATACTTTCTTTTTTACATAAATCGATTCTTCTAAACATGCTGCGTAATAAAGTATGAAGGTATTATGTGAAAAAATTAATAATTCGTGACATACTTTAGCGGCAATTGCGTGTGATCCGCGAGATAAGAAGCAATGAAATTGCCGCCAATATTCATTTCACCAATTCATTGTACCAATAAAAACATTATTAAAACAGTATTATATACATTTCACTTTCTGTGATGAGATATGCGTGTTAAACGCGACACCGTAATGTTCCGGCCTGGGTCCTGGGTGTGCTGGGCAACAAAGTAGGGTACGCGCACGTGTGTGAGAAATACGGCTGAGCAAGGAGCGTCGCTTCCGTACAGATAATGGTAGCGCGGGAATTGAATGTCTACTACACTAGGAATTTTCATTCACTTGTCGGTATGATTGGGTAGCAGTTTGAGCGAATTGCCACGGGTGATGCCACCGGTCGAAAAAATAGTGGTATTCCGCGTTAAATACGATTTTAACAGTGTTCTGGTCGTTTATTGTCATGATCAATGACAGAGGATTAATCTACGTTCTTTCAGCTATAAATCCAGTGCTTTATCTAGAATCTAGACGAATGCTATCCGTATAACAGTGTAAGAGCTGTCCGAAGTGAACTAAACGAGCAGCGTATCACGGGAAGCAGTGACTATATGTATATGTATGCAGAATGCAGGCAGATACATAACATATATGTACAGATAAAAATCACTGATCACAATTTTTCACCGCTGAGATTAAGTACATTGTAGTATGAGTGATCAGGGAACCTGTCCAATTCAATGTAATCAATTTCATCGAGTAGAAGACCTTCTGCCAAGCCAACGAGTTCCCCGAAAGATGGCCTGCATGCTGGATCTTTGTCCCAACAGTAGTACATTATGTTGTACAGTTCTCTCTTACAGTGTTCTGGTCTGTCCAACCTATAACCTTCTTTGATTCTTCTCATTACCTACAAGAGAAACATTATTTTACTTTAACAAATTTTACTTGTACAATTATTCTGACTATGTTAACATTGAGAACTGCACCTCAGCGGCTGCCAGGCCAGGATAAGGTGTGGATCCCAAAGTTACAATTTCCCATATCAGTATGCCAAAACTCCATATATCCGATTTAACGGAAAATATATTGTCGTACAGACTTTCCGGCGCCATCCATCGAATAGGCAACCGGCCTTCGGACTTTCTTTCGTATATTTGATTGGCAGCTATGTCTCGAGCAAATCCAAAGTCCGCTACCTTGCACACACGATTTTCATCGATCAGTATATTCCTGGCAGCTAAATCTCTGTGTATAATTCCTTTAGACGCCAGATACTCCATACCTTTGGCAATCTACGAAATATAAACTATTGAGATTTTGAGATTCGCAGAGGCTCAGAAACTGAGTCGTGGTAGGAGATGACATAATTTATGGTACAAGTTGTATTATTTTGTTTGATACACTGAAACATTACACCCATACCTGATAAACAAATCCAGTTAGATCTCTGGATGTCAGTCCAGGCCCTCCATGATTCCGTTCTTCTCTGGATATCCTCAAAAAGCTTTGCAATTTTCCTCCGCTGATATATTCTAAGATAACGAACATGGGTTCGCGTTCTGTACAGCAACCTAGTAATCTGACGACGTTAGGATGAGGTTCCATATTTTTCATGACTCTTAGCTCCTGTGCTAGATCCAAACGGTCTCTTTCTGTGGCATTTTCTTTAAGAGTTTTCACAGCGACTATCTTCGTTCCAGACTTCTCGTCGATGTCCAAGGCTTCGCATTTCCAAACTTGACCGAAGCAGCCTTCTCCAAGAATATTGAAGACCTGTGATAAATTAACACGGTAGCTGTTTAGCGGTTGTTATTTTGTTTCAATACTTATCGTTAATAACAATGAAAATATGTAAATTTCACCAGCCTTCAGTCGATGTCGAGGAAATTCCCACTTATTTTCTGGTTTGTTCTTTATGCCAATGTGACTGTCCTTTTCCCAAGTTTCATATCGGTTGGTGTTAGCTTTTGGACCACGCCATCTTTTCAGAACAAGGGATGGGTCGTCCGATATGTTCGAGACTTTGACCGAAGCGTGTTCTTTCTGTAAGGAAAAAGTGACTCTTTGAATGTTACTGGGGACGTCCTTTTAATGTGGCAGACAGAATGTGGCTGGCTTTTGCTTCCATACTTTGTAAATTTTATAAAGAATAAAAAGAAATCCTTTCCATTGTAAATCTTCCTTTCTGCATAGTAGCTTGCATAAACTTATCGATGAACTACTTCTTTACTGATTTTAATGTCCTTAAAATAAATCGTTCAACATTCTGAGCACTTTTTCTTGTACATACAACTGGCGTACGAGTTTGGTTTCAGAGATACAGATGTATGGGAAAAAAATACTCAGAATATTGACCTTGATGTAGCTTATCGACAAGGTTACCGTAACCCGTACCAATACTGTCATCGTAAACTTATCATACCATGTCCTTTTTGGACCTCCTATGTCCACAGAATTTATTTCGCAGAGACCAGGCGCCCATCCCAAGAACCACCACAAGTACACAGACTGCAATGACGGGCACCAAAATCATGGCGATATCTTGAGAAGGCGGTGCCTCGGTAGGTGTAATTTTCGAGCTGAAAGGCGGTCCCTCAATCTCATTCTGCTCCTTTGATGCTTCAGATAGTTTGATAGTACTAGTGTTATCCTCGCTCGGTTTCACCTCTTCTGGCTGTAACTTGGTTGTTTTCGGTATACTGACCGGCGACGAAGGTACCATTGGTTTATAAGGTAATCCCGGCCTGGGATACCTCTGCAGATTAGGTAAGGCCAACAGAGACGGTCGTATTCTGTCGGCAGATACATGTTGGCCAGGAAACGGGTTCCTACAGAGGGAAAATCAACAGAATTAAGCAATGTTCGGTAGTAACGAATTTGATAAAAACTTGTCCCACCCTTCAGCCGGTTGTGAATCGATTTATCCAAATTCCGTAAGTTTGCTCTCAAGGCTGTCGGATTGTTTCGTATAAAAAGTACACAAACCAGATCTTGCCGAAGCTGTGTTCAACTGGGTTTGATTAATTCTATCCCAACCTCCGGTTATTCTATTACAATCAGATTTGACCGGAGCCAGAGTGAAAAACTACGCTATCAGAAAACCATAAAGGTGATTCGACCGCTCGATATTATTACTACACGTTATACAGGATATACAATATTTCTGCCAAAAATAATGTTTGCTATTATTAAATTAGTTCAATGAGTTTTTCCAACGAATCAGTTCAGCTCGATTGTCCCACTCTGATGTCCTCTATGGATAATTTGGATAACCCACCTAGTTTGTCCACCATTGGGATCCGAAGTATTTTTTATAGTGACGTAGACCTCGGTCTTTGTTGTGAGTTGACCGTCGGAAACGGTTACGTAAAGGAACAGGCTCTGCCCTCCCTGGAAACAAGAAATAGGAAACGTCGTTCAATCTCAAAACACTGACCATACGCGGCTCATATTACGTTCTCGTCATCCCAAAAGGAATGCGCGTACTTTGTCCCCGTGTTACGACCAAAACTCGTACGCTTATATGTATACATTATACCTTTCTAAAAATGCGATTCAAGGGACCCTGTAGATTTTGACGAACGGCGAATACTAGTATTATTGTATTAGACGCGAAATAATAGACTCTTTAATAATGTTACTTTCATCATTCAGTTTTAAACTGTTATTGTCAATTACAATACAATAATATTTTTACGAATACGTAAAAAAGTCACACACCGTTATATGTATCGTATCGTATCAGTGAATAATACCGATAGATGATATGATTCGAGGATACACGACACGTGGATACCCACCTTTTGTAACCATTAAATCGTGGATTTTCATTTTTTAGGAAAATTTCAAACTACATTGTATTTATCAGTTGACTTTAAACAAATGTTGTCAATCACAATAATTTTTGTAATTAACTGCAATTAGTGTCTTTAGTTACGCTCTTGTTCAAAGCGAAATAGACCAACGAGAGTCACGTAAATCGATCTCCTAACGAATCAAGTATTTTTATAAGGACCGTCAACATAAATAATTAATCGACAACTGGGATTAAAATAATGCCTACCCGGTCCTTGAGTGTGTCATTAACGTAAATAATGCCGGTACTATTGTCAATGAAAAAAGGAAGCGGTGACTGCTGTTTGTCGTCACCATTGAAGTTGTGCCCAATGAGTTCCAGACCGTAGGTTAACCGGTCCTGTTCGTTATCCTCGGCGCGGGCTCTAGTTACCACACTTCTCAACGGCTCAGTATCCCAAATCAGAAGGTTTCGATCAATGTACATTACAGGTGGCGTGTTGTCACTGAATTGATTTTCTGAAATGTAAATTACCAATTATGACTGTATTTCCATTACGTCAGAATGAAAATGGCAAAGCTGCTGTTTATGGGTCCCACCCGCAATGACCTTGACCTTGACACAGGTTATCAAGATCACCCTTCTCAGTGAAGGGCATTCAGATGAGAATCAACTACCACTAATTTTCCAGATGAAATTTTGAAAATACGTACTTTTATGTCGTTTTTTTTACGCTGAATTCAATTATGTATATAATGTAATTCTTTCCAAAGTTTAAAAAAAATTTGTTGAAAAAATTATGGGATCGTAAAATTCATACTCTTATCTGTGTAATACTACTTACATACATTATAAACAAAATTTCAAGCCAAAATCTTCATTTTCATCGAGCTTATAACGTTTTTCATTTTTATGTTAGGTGGAAATGGTAGTGAAAGTAGGCGCATGAGGGCTCCTACGCTAGACAGCACTAGTCTAACCATTATGTATTGTATGTACACAGTTAGATTTGTATAGGTACTATACACACACCAGTCTGGGTTTACTATGCCAATACAGAAACATGAGTTTGTGGTCTAATAAATGTAGAAATACAAGTCTGGGTTAGGTCTGGACAACATACAGATAACGTATTATATATTAAAAATACCTATTATATTGACAATATTCACGATGTATTATCAATATCTTCTCACGTATTAATAATATACATATATCAAAATAAATTAATAATTATATAATATATACCTATATTAAAATAAATTTTCTCCGAGTTATTTCAATCAGAACTGATTGATTCTAAGCCGTATGCTTTTAAAAAATGGCCATTTTACATCGAGTACTTCGAATTGAACCGACTCAACTGTACTTTCGAATCGAATTGTTTCCAAGGATTATGTAGGTCATCAGAAAACTCTTGATAAATCTGCACTTTGTTTTTTTTTTGTTGTAACGGAATACGCGTTCAAAGTGTTGGATGTATTAAGAAACTATTTTCCGTAACATTGACAAAATTGTGTGGATACTTATTGTTTCTCCAAGTAAATATAATTTCATATGTCTGTTATTAAATAATAATTCATGACTAAATTTCTATATTTATGTATAAACATTTCCGATAACTTGTGCCAATTTCATTATCTCTCCGTTTTATCTTTTTCGTGATGCAATATTAAAATATCTCATTGTTACTATTTATTAGCTCAAAGCAGGGGTTCTCAACCTGGGGCCATATGGCTCCCACGTGGCCCCAGGATATTACTGGATTCCAATTACTGTATTTTGTAGAAATTATAAAAATTGTAATACAAATGTTCTATTTCCAAACAGAACATTTGAATAGCTACGGTTCTACCGATAGGACAGGGGGCCACAGGAAGGAAACAAGGTCGAAAGGGGGTCACAGTCAGAAAACGGTTGAGAAACACTAGTTTAAAGAATCATGAAAGGTCTTACCGACAGTAGTCCACAGGCAAAGCGCCGTAATAATAATGGTCAGCCTGCCGAACATCACGCTACATCAGTTTAGAACACGTTAAATAGGAACACAGCACTTTTAAAACCACCTGGACAATAAATTCCTATCGAAATCTCAAAAATTCATCGTTTCCTCTACACAACCGCACATTAATCACTGGTCCAGTGTTAGGTACCTGATGATAAAGCCTCAAGCTTCCCATGTCCGAGCTCTGAACTGAAATCCTCGAATTTCAATCTCCCAGTTACGTTTTGAAGGATCTTAAAACCAATCATTACAGATCGCTGATCTTTTTACTCGGCAATTTAAGCTCACAAACGATCAGATAGGACAACGCTCGAGCTATCGCTTTCTCTCGGTTCGGATGATCGAACGGTGTAAGTTTGTAGAGCGATAATCCATACCGTACTGGAGGATTTATAGCATGAGAATATTCCCAGTAAAAGTGCTAATATTTTTCATTCAGGTAACTAAGATATCACCGATCCTGTGATTGAGAATTATGGAGATTCGGATTCGTCTCTTGGCTTGGCATTCGATTTTTTTCACTGACTAGGAAAGTCAGGTTTACGTAGTCGTTTCTAGAACTTTAAGATCAGATCCTATGAACAGGATTTTTCAAATCAGGTCCATTACAGATACTGCTAAATTCTTTCACTGGTTTAGAAATCTGACAATTTAATCGTCGATCACTTTCTCACTCAGCTTCAGAGCATTAAAACTCATCCCATATCCCAGTTTAGCCACCGGGTGACCCTGACGTTATTAAATCTTCTTACTGCTTTATCGTAGATACTTTCTTCGATGAATCACGGATTACATCGTCGATCGAAACCTGGTTGACTTTCGGACACCTTGAAGATCGAGCACTGACTTTATCTGCGTCGCGACACGATCTGGTACCGAGCACGGTGGTAGCCAAGACGATCGAACCTGTATCATTGGCGTAGAAGGTGTATCTTATAGATTACTTTCACATACAATTAAATCATTCACTGAATGAGTCAGGTGAAGAAAATGTCTCATCAGTGCACTTATTAAATTCTATTACTTTTTTTTATAGTTGTTTCTGAGGTTGTATCTCTATATGTATACGTTTTTTAAATACTACAGTTAAATATATAGTTAGAATGATATATTCTCACATGCATCATCGATGAAATCAAATTAAAACTGATTTTTCATCCGATGAATTAGTAAACATTGATTGAAGCTTGTCATTTTTTGTAATTATTATCGAGTTTGTTTTTCTTGTATGTACTATCCCAGATAGCACATGACGCCTTCAAGACGCCTATTTTACGGCTATTTTAGGGCTAAAGCGTCTTCAAGTCGTCTTCAAGGCGTCATGTGCCATCTGGGTATATTTCATAAATGTATCCAGGAAGATTTATCTTTAATTGCATTATTATTATAGAGACCAACAGACAAATTAGTACACACTGACAGAAATGGTCTATTTTGTTATAAGTATTAGTGTTACTAAGTTTGTGTTTTGTATCTAAATACTCGTTACAAGTATTTCGCATGACTTGTTTTCATTTGGATCGTCGATGGAAAGTTGTTTCGTTCGTCATAACGCTGACTGAAATTTCTTTCTTTCTATAATTGTTTCTGATTTGAATTTTCTGTATGCAGATATTATTCTAGGCTACCAATCGTAGCGTTTAACCAACGTTACCGCGGGAACTCAGCCAGCAGACTCGCGCTCTGATTGGTCGGGGTTTTTTGTTAATATCTCGTTACCAAAGCCTAGGATAACATTTTTGCTAAGGAAAAACGTGTTTGAAATCACCTCACGAGTCTCCCATTTCCGGGTCCTCCAACATTTTTGTTACATCCTGTATATATACGCGGGACCATAGACATAGTAGCATAGTTAGTATTGTAGCTCATTGTTGAGAATCAACTGGTCTCTGCAACCCCTTCGAAACGATGAGGCAACGTCAGAAGAGCCCGCCAGAGGCGCGCAGCGAGCACGGAACCAATCAGCACGCAAGTGCGCGCAAACTTGAGGTTTCCAACTTTGTTGGTAGTCTGGTAGTCAGTCGGCACAGAATACGCGACGTAGAAGTTTTGGTGCTTCAAAGGTGAATGATTTCATGCAAACCCGCGCCTTCTATACGTGTCAATCGTTGTCGGATATGAGACCTGCGATATGAATTTGGTGAAAATAAACGTTGCATCGCCCGCGTGAATGGCGAATAGTTGCGCGGGTGAGTGTTTTGCGTTCGTAGAGTGTCATTAACCTCGCGAGGCTTAGAGAACCGAGGTCTCCCTGCTGGAAATCGCGCGCAGATCCCAACGGAGCTGTCAGACTTGCGAACTTCGATGTATTACGATCGCTCAATTAGAATGTCGACGTTGACCGCGTCTTCAACGGCGTTGCAATAGTGAGATCCACGCGTACGCGATATTGAGCAGAGTGTCGTCGAGAAAACAGCTCCAGGGTGAGCCGTATTCAGATCGAGAAATTTAGCGACTACCGAGGAAAATGGCGGATCTCGAGGCGGTGCTGGCCGACGTCAGCTACCTGATGGCCATGGAGAACAGCAAGGACACGCCGGCTGCTCGTGCCAGCAAGAAAATTGTCCTGCCAGATCCCAGGTATAACGATACTCGGGGTTTCGTGCTTTTTCTAGATTCGACTGTTCCAGTAACTCCTTGCATTTAGTGATGGGAACGATGCACTCGTAACACAGTGGCCCTAGTTTTCCACAACACAAACGTTCATAGACATTTATTTACCATTTTCCCAATTGTACGATCTTATCGACCAGCATCTATCCTATGAATAGGTTGACGAATCAGTTTCTTTAACTCGATGTTGTGTTTTAATACACATTAGCTTAGCAGATGGTAATATGACAAGATTTTCATTAATCGCGGTACTAACAGTCAATGAGATGTATAGAACTTTTTAGTATTTCGTTTCTTTATATAATTCTTCTATTCAGATAACAGAGTTCCATGTATCTACAGTAATGCTTTTGGAACATAGAATGGTGTGTTCGCTCTGTGACAATTTGTATACAATGATTGCCGTATTATTTACATTATTATATGCATTCATTGTAATGCGAATGATTTTCTCCTTTGATTCTTCTTCGACAGTATCGAGCAATCTCTAACGCCTATGTACACTGATTGTTTGCACCGAAATGGTGATCGGATTAGGCCCATCACTACGTCTCACCACGTTTCCTGCCCCTCCCTTCTTCTGCCTCTACCCTTCCTTATCTACCACGAGTTCGCTCGCCTTGTTCTTCTCTCTCTTACTCTGTGTATACGTCGTATACATATCATATGTATACCTTACCGTTGCTTCGACACCTCGCTTGGTTCATCTCTGTGAGGGTGCGCCATTTCGGAAAATGTTTACAAACAGTCAGCTAAGTCGATCGAACTCACGTACGGTTCCGATTGATGTTCGAAAATACGGATCATTTTATGAAACGTATGTCGATCTGTTAAATAATTGTTAACTTTTTATAATCAAGCGATCATACACTGATTGTGAGTACTTACGATATAAAGTCCTGCTACTGAGAATAGCGTAAAAGACCTAATTACTGACGCTTTAAGGAATGACACTGACATTATTGCATAATTTTGGTATTAGTTGACCAAAAACATAAGCTTTTATTTGTATTTATCATTATTTAATGTGTTTAGTGGAAGAAAAGATTTGTTGTAAATGTTGTAATTGTCCAAACCTCTTCTTTTGTTTATAAATTTATTAGTTTCAAAGACATATGTCGAAACCTATTACTGCCACCCCAATTACTACCACCTAATCAAATGCTATCACCTCATATACCTAAATATTGTCAGTTTTACAAAAAATTAGATTTTTGTACCTTAATTAAGTTTTAAAGTATTTTTATATTACATGTTTTTATAAATAAAAGAATGTTTTAATTAAATTATTAAAGCTATTTTAAATTGTTTATTGTTACTTTACGTATTCTCTTTGATTTAATTGCCTTATTTCTCTCTCCCTCTTCCACTTTTTCCTTTGTTTCTATCTCAATTTTCTTGCCAGTATCAGTTTTTTAAAAATTTATTTTACTTCTCCAATTCAGTTTTTTCTTATTTATTTCAGCTTTAGCTAATCTAAGTTTCTTTCTTTGTTCTTTCTTTTTCCTCTTTAGACTTTCTAATCTTTTCATCCTTGTCATTTTGGTATTTTAATCAAAGGTCTGGTATGACAATGGATAAATGGAGAAGGTACCCTTGAGTGAATGTTGCTAGAATGTACAATATTCTTTTCCTAGAGACAATTTAAATTTGAAGCATCCTACAGCAGATCACACACTGAGGGGAACAAACAACTATCTTTTGCATTTTCAGTGCATTTTATGGAGTGTGAAGTGGTTTCTGAATGGACAAAGGGCGATACAATTGTTGTACTTGTACCAGGATTTAATTCATGTGATGAGTTTTCCAATATTTCATTCACCACCATTTTGTACCACTTTTGATTTTAAATTGTTTCTTTTGTTGGAACCATTCTGTAAAATTTGTTTCGCATTCAAGTTATTTATTCTCCTTTTGACTACAAGTGCAAAATCTGCCTTTTGTACACTTAATTGGTCATGTTCTATGAGATAATTTTCAATAACTTTCCCATACTCGTTTTGAATGGCCTAAACATTCAATCATCCGTTGGCTGTAAGATGTAAGTGGAATTAGGGTGCAATACAATTAGCACAGTTTGATGTTGCAAACAAAAAACACTTGTAGATTGTGTTAGACGTGAAACATGACCATCAATCAACAAAATCACTGGTAATCGTATACAAATCTCAAGTAGCCATGGATGAAAAATATTGACGATATATTCAAAAAACTTTTTCCCTAGTCATCCAGCCATTATCAGAAAGATCAATACCCTATACTTTTGACAATTTTCTCACAATGTGTGAAGGAACTCCTTGATATGCAAATAATGTAGGGATCGTTGTTTTAGAGGGAATGGTTGAAATCCATTTATACATAAAATAATATATACAGTAGACTCACGTTAAAGTAGCGATGCGGGGCTCTTGAGGTGGGTTTTTCTTTTAACGTGAGCCAATGGGCACACAGAATCTCGTGGCATCTCGGTCGATCCGCCAATTGGATCAAAACTGTCGTTAAAGATGGCGACCGATAGTGGGGTGCGCGCACGTGTGTGACTTGGGACGTTCTTACCGCTACTTTAACGCGAGTCTACTGTATTTAATTATAAGTAAAGTAACTTTATAACAGGCCGACACTACACACTCTCGTTTTCTACCTTTCTTCAAACTTTGCAATGTTCCGCACTTCTCTTTCAGACCACAATATATACATTCTCGCGACATTTTGTCTCCCCCTCTCACCCTAGTTGTTGGTCGCAAGCTGACGATAGACTGCAGTTACTGACCTAAGTCGTGGGCCACTGGTCGTTTGTTTCTTTCGCGATCTATTCGTCAGCTGTCGACCCAACACGCAGTCACACGCTCACGCACACGACACATATACTGGTGACTTGGGTGCCGACCGCCCGAATGTTGTTATCTGGGGTTCTTGACGCGCGCCGCCCGGTCACCTACTCTTCGTACCTTTGTCATCCATTCCTACAATAATACCAGAGGTGATACCAATTGACCTGCTGCATTACCCATTATAAGAACAGTTCAACTTTCATTTTCATTATACTCCACAGTATTGTAAACAATTTAGCTACCTATCTTAACAATAGCTGGACTTTTCTTCGGGTTTAACAATAAAGCTGTCTCGTCAGCATTCAAAATTTTTGATGGTTCACAATACTTTTCAGATTGTTCGACATTAAATATCTGTCTATTTCAATAAACTGTTCTTTAATATTGCTTTCAGTCACATGAGCACGACTAGATATTAAATTTTCTGCGACTCTTTCACTGATAAGGAGAGTATCTCAGGTGTTCGTCTCCAATTGCTTTGATTTTCAGGTATGTTTTGGAGGACCGAAAAATAAGAGATACTTACTTTTTCATATCGACCCGTTTTCATATTTAGGAGTGAAATCACCCCTTAAAGTTTCGACCCAGGCGTACTATCTCGAACACCAGAGGAGATGCACAAGAATTTTCAATGGGCCAGTTTCATGGTTTTTTATGTACACTAATATGGTGCTAACAAATTGTCAAGAATACAATTTGTCATAACAAAAATGTCTTTACAATATCTACAACGTTTGGGGCTTCATTTCGTGGTCCATGATTTTTATTGAAATCTTCTTGTTTTCCATTATATCCGTCTATAGTTTTCCAAACAAAGTCATTAGCTTCTACCAATAAAGATCTTTCTGTATCTTCAATTTCAAAATTGACAATTTCATTATTGTTGTACTGGCTTTCACTATCATACGAAGTGTTACTACCTTCAGATTTATTCGCGGACACAGTTCGACTTATCGAAGCGATGGCTTGATTAGGCTTAGATTGAACTAAAAGGCACATTGTTGTCGAAATCAAGAGCTGTGTCTACAGCGATAAACAAAGCATTGTAGTCTGTTTAGACTAACTAATGTCTCTCGGTTCTGGAGATACTGCAGAGACAGTTTGGGAGATATAGTGGACCTCCACTATATTGCCATGGTCGAGGCTGTAGTGGAGTAAAATGGCAATGAGTTCAGAGCCCCCTCCATGCTAAGTTCTATCGTCGTAGAAACTTTTGAAACGTTCCCGAGTTTTAAATTCTTATGGAGCTTTTACTGTAATGTCGGCGAATTAAAAGGAGAATACAAGAGTTTATAAAATCTTGTAAGTAATTTCCTAAAAAAATATCGAAGATAGGGCAAACTTATTTTCTATGGTATACATAATATGATTAATTACATTGCATAAAAAAAGAAACGAAGATTTTGTTTAATTTTTGTCAATACACGTCAATATTAAAATACTTAGCTTAGAGATATGTAAGTTTTCGTAGATTATTTTGTTATGTAGAGTATTAATTTATTATATGGTAATTAATTTATCGTTGATTTCTACTGTTCAGGTTGTATGTCACCTACAACCGTGGCAATTATAGTAACTATTTTACATTATTTCACTTACTTCGCTCATCAGAATTAATTAGCACTAGTTAGTAAACTAATTAGCAAATTAGTTTAATTTCGTAGTTACATAGATGTATGTGCAAAAAACATTTCTGCTTCTAATTCCAGCCTTACAGTCCAGCAGATAGCGGCGGAATTTTATTTTCCAGCAGGATAACGCAAATGTACACACAGCAAAGCACGCAAACAATTTTCTTTTTTATGAATTAAATAACTATTAGCATTACTGGTAGACTATCTGGTTCTCAGACTTCAGTATTATTAAAAACTATTAAATATTGATTATTATGAAACTTAGACTAATGGCAAGTATCTCATGACGTAAGAAAACTAAGAATTACTATGGGTGACGGCTAGAAGTTTTTAACATGTTCGCTACTATATTGGACGGTCCCATAAGTCCTTGCTGGGTTCGTTGTTTTTCGAACATTTTCGTTTTTAAATCGACGCAGGCTCGAGAAGTTTCCAGAATGTGCGAGTGTGTGCGCGAACCTTCCGCGTAATGGGTATAAATTGGCGCGAGCGTAACAGGGAG